CACCTGCATCATGAAGGACCACACTCACCCAGCACACACACTTTTTGCCCTGCTCCCCTCAGGACGGAGGTTGAGGAGCATTAAGTGTAGAACCACTAGACTGAGGAACAGCTTCTACCCTGACACATAAATCTCTAACCAGGAGAAACACTGGGATGACACTTTGGACATTTGACACTTTATCCATGCTGCTGATTATCCATGCTGCTGATCTCTTGCCTTTAAGCTGCTGTATTCATACCCCTCTGCTCACAACAGACTCATGTTCAGGCTGCTGTTTAATACATTGTATTATATTACATTTTTAATATTTAGCATATATCCTTGTTTACCATTACTTTTTTATAGTTTATTTTATTGCTATTTTTAGATGTAACTGGGACCTTGAACACACTTTCGTTCCACCTCATGTGCCACATGTGATGTAAATGACAATAACGTCTCCTTGAATCCTTAATCTTTCATCGTTCCTCATGACTTGTGTGTTTCATCGTTTCATCGTCATGAGGAACGACGAAACGATGGATCTCCTTGTAATTGATCCAGTCAGAAACCGTGAAGACCAAGTCACGACTTCCTGTTTTCCAATGATTCCCTGGAGTTTGGATTAGGCCGGAGCTTACAACTGCTGTGCATCGGCAGGTTCATGAGAAGTAGCTGTAGTTCTAGTAGTTCTGTAGTCCTAAGAACTTCACACATCTCTTTCTGTTTAATGCATTTTGACTCACAGACCTAAATAAAATTCTGAACGTTTAATAAAAAAAATCCATCTAGTTGTTGATGAGAAGTGTTGCTAACAGACAAACGTGCACACACACACGCAGAGTGCACGGCAGCATCAGAAACTTTTGAGCAATTACATCATTGTGTTGATGTGGGAGGAAGCTTGAAGGTTTAAAAGCAGCCGAGGCCGATGAGCCGCTCACTGCACCTGAACTCTGTTGTTGACACCTGAACACCTCAGACCTGAACACGGACAGGTGTTCGTGTGGAACGGTTATTTTCTAATTGACTGTCAGCTGACTTGTTGCTGTTTGTGTCGATGACTGAGCTGAACGCTGAAAGGAGGACAAGACAAACTGATCAGTACTTTCTGCAGCTTTTACTAAACAGTAAAATAAGATCATGATCAACTCAACACAGGTTTCATATTTTATTCTTAGCTCTTACTTTGATATTAAGATGCTCAAATACTTAATGTTTGTGATCATTTTGTCTTTATATGTTGTTATAGTTGGTTCCAATGTTCTGCTGATCGGGGTTATCTGCATTAACCGGACTTTACACGAACCTATGTACATTTTTATGTGCGTCTTGTTTGTGAATCAGCTTTTAGGCAGTACCAGCTTGTTTCCATTCCTGCTGGTCCAGATCCTCTCGGACGTTCACATTATTTTAGCTCCGCTCTGTTTTCTGCAGATTTACTGTGTTCATACCTACGTTTCAGTAGAGTTCCTGAACCTGGCCATCATGTCTTACGACAGATATCTGGCCATCTGTTACCCCCTGCAGTACAACTCACTGATGACGCTCAAGAAAGTCGTAGTTTTTATTGCGGTGGAATGGTTATTCTCATTTCTTGGAATTAGTGTCTTCACGTCTCTGAGCTTCTCTCTGCATCTGTGTGGAAACATCATCAACAAGTTATACTGCACCAACTACTCCATCGTCAAACTGGCCTGCTCCGATACGACACTCAATAATGTTTATGGGCTTTTAAGTTCCGCTGTGGGAAGTCTTGTACCAGTTTCTTTAATTCTCTACACCTACTTAAGGATCCTTAAAGTTTGTTTTTCCGGATCGAAACAAACCCGACAGAAAGCTGTGAGCACGTGCACGCCTCACCTCGTGTCTCTGATCAACTACTTCTTCGGGGCTGTCTTTGACATTTTACAGAGCAGGTTTGATTTGAGCAGCGTTCCAAATGTCGTGCGGATATTTTTATCGTTGTACTTTCTGACATGCCAGCCTCTCTTTAACCCGTTAATATACGGCCTGAACATGTCTAAAATACGCAGCGTGTGGAAAAGTCTGTTTTCAATCAACTGGAGATAACACGATCAGTTTTTATAAGAGTGATACTCGGACGTTCTCACTTTGCTCACAGTAAGCTGGACAACAGAAAGACGCTGTGGTTTTATTTTACACCCATTTAATTATGTAATAATTTAAATATGAAGTTTCTGTTAACTTATTATTTTGTGACTGTGCACTATATAAATAAACTGAATTGAATTGAAGTTTTATCAAATGGTAAATTTTATTTTGAAGTTTTCCTAGAGGCAGTTTGTCAATAAGACAGTGGTCCTCTAACGCAGTGGTTCCCAACCATGGTCCTTGAGGAACACCACCCTGCATGTTTTAGTCGTTTCCCTGCTCCAACACAACAGATTCAGTGATTTTTTTTATTTCCTCAAGTTGTGCCAACGCTTGCTATGCACCCATTCATTTAAATCAGGTGTGTCAAAGCAGGGAAACAACTAAAGCATGCAGGGGTGGTGTTCCTCAAGGACCAGGGTTGGGAACCACTGGTTTAACTACATTTGTATTGTATTCATGCCTCCCTTCGTTATCAGTCACATCAGAATATCTTAAATCGTATTTACATCTAGTCGTGTTGCATCAATAATTAGAAACAATGGTTTTGATTTGGCCTTGGCGCTGGAAGATGACACCTGATCTGTTCGGAGTCTGTCAGGACTCTCGAGGTGAGGTGGTCAAACTGGACCCCAGGAGATGTGGTGAGGAGGTCTGATCAGAAGTGAATAAAAAACAAGGCTTTTAGCGCACTGACCTGACGGTTCAGGCCCAGACCCTCCTCACATGGACCTTTCACATCTTCCATTCAATCAAGTAATTTACTTTTATCCTGCTGGTCTGCAGTTTGTATTAATCTGAGAAATTAGAGATTCACGGGTTAAACGTAACAGGATCCATTTGTAAAACACAAAAACATCTATTTGTGTTTTGGAAGAAGATTTCTGGGACCCTGTGTGCAAAGTTTCGATCCACCACATGTGATGTGAATGACAATAAAGAACCTTGTATTCTGTTTAATAGAATAGAATAGAATTCAACTTTATTGTCATTGCACATGTCACAGGTACAAAGCAATGAAATGCAGTTTGCATCTATCCAGAAGTGCTTAGCAAGAGAAATAAATTGATAGATATATATATTACAATATACAGTAAGTTGCTTTGAATATGCTATAGGTATAAATATATACAGGTTGTGAGTGTACAGACTATGAACAGGTTATAATATGAAGGGGTATAAACAGCTATATAAAAGAAAAAATACATATATATAAGTATGTGAGTACTTATGAATCTAATCTAATAGAAATCTAAATCTAATAGAAATTAAGAATTTAAGGTATTGCCTAATTATAAACTAATTATCTAAATATTAATATAGTTATGCTGCTGTTTTGATACATGAGTTTTGAGATATTTTATCATGAGTCTCTGATTTTCAGGCCCAACAAAGAACTTTTGTTCAGTGACATTTTCAGTGCAGTACCTTTTATCCTAAAGAAGAGCCAAAGACCAGTAATACTTTAAATTATCCAAAACATGATGCTAATATTTGAAGTTACACAAATTAACAAGTAGATATCCAAAATATTCAGATTAGCAGCATACTTTTAACTGGTCCACAATAACCTGTAAGCATTTTTATTTTATTTTCAACTAGGCCTGTCACGATAAACAATGAATCAGTTAATCGCATGATAAATGAAAATTATCAACCTCATTTCCATTAATCAGTTTTATCGTTTCTTCGTGTCTCTCTCTTTCTACTGAAGACACTGGATGACAAAAGGCTCACCTCCGGTTCTTCACTGACTCATCCCTTTCTCTTTAAAATCTGTTTTAATCGTCCATAATCACGTTTTTGGATCGTTAAAAGCAGCTAAGCTGAGAAGCTAAGCTGCGCTGCCTTGATTCTCTTAATTCTTTTAAAAAGCAGCTGAAGACACATTTGTTTAGATTGGCTTTTAATTCGTTTTATATTGTCTTATGTCATACGCATGTTGTTTTATCTCATCGTTTGTGTTTTTATCTTTTATCTTGTATTTTTATGTCTTTTATTCTGTAAAGCACTTTGTGGTTTCTGACCTGTAAAAGGTGCTATATAAATAAAGTTTACTTACTTATGAGCTAAGCTAACAGGCCGACCTCGAGAAAAAAACTCCGTCTTGTTGAAGCTCCAAAATTCATGGTTGAAACTTGTGCCTTTGTGTAAAAAGTTGTTTTTCTCTGTAAAAAAGAAGCTGAGAACTTGTTTACTGATTTTTTATTAAAAACTTATTTGACAAATGCTAAAGAGCTCAAACCACACCGAGCGTTTGACATTTTGAGAACCAAAGAGAGACAGCCCATGTCACGTCAAGGGGCCTCCCTCCCATTTTTCTTAAAGAGACACGCTGCTCACTCCCTCTCTATCCATCCTTCGGTTCAAACTGTCTTATACTGCCATCTGGTGGTCCAAAACTGGTACTACACATAAAAAATAAATATTTCTTCTTAAATTTTACAATAATTACTAATTATTGTCAAATTTCAAAAAATATTATCGTTTATCGCGATAATTTCTGAGACAATTAATCGCCCAGCAACATTTGTTATCGTGACAGACCTATTAACAACACAAGTTGAGCTTGGATTAAGACATCTATAAAAATATGCAACTAAATGTTAGCGTTCAATATCTTGCTTCTGTTCGGACACTCGAGCATAAACAGGCTTGATTGTAGAAGTTTGGTTTTATTTAATAACAATTATTTAACAATTAATAATTATTTAATAGATATTTCTATTTTGGGGTTTATATAAACGACTCCTTAAAGGTTTTGGATGCACCTCAAATAATCAGGTAATAAATCCAACAAAGTTCAGTCCGGTCCTCTGGACGGTTTTGTTGAAACGTTTTGTCTTTCATCCAAAGGACTTCATCCGTCCGAGGAGTCGCAGCAAACTCAGTCTTATAAACATCACCTTCACATAGTGGGTCGACCAGTTTGATGGTGCTCAGATGGTGTCTGGAGTCCGCCCTCTCCCCCGTCGACTCGTTCGAGGCAGCCATGGCCAAAGTGCGTGGTTCAAAAAACTTTTTTGAACGCTGGAGAGACGACGAGACAAAACTGAAGCAACACAACTTCGTCTAAGGAGCAAAATCCACACATTTTGTTTGTTTGTCTGCTGGTTTGTCGTCACCAGGACAGCTGGGGGGGGGGGGGGGGGGGGGTCACCTATCTGTGCACAGAGCGGGAGTGCCACCAGCACACGTGTGTGTATGGGTCAATTTCAGGCAAAATTACAACGTGCATGTTGGGGCATTGGTATAGCCTGTATTATTTTTTATTTCAGAAAAGTTACCGTGAGCCTCAAGCTGTAAAAACATTAAAAAATAATTTTAAATGTTGCTTACCTGGTCCAGCTGATCTGTGCACCTCCCTGCCTTTTACGATGTTGAAACAGGTTCCGAAGATGTGTTCCAAAAAAAGATGGCCTGGGTGTGATGTTCTCTGCAGTTTGTAGGACACGTGGTGTGGTCTGCCTGTGTAACTCACGTCGTGCTGCCACATGAGAGAACGCTCTGAACAGCTCAAATGAAAGGTTGCTCTTCTTCAGGGTCCATAGAAAGTAGAACCTTTTCATTTAAGGGCAGAGGAACTTTGACTGCTAAAATAGTTAACGGTTAGCAGA